AACGAGTTACAAACCTGTAGGCTTCCTTTCTTGCAGTAGGACCACACAAGAAGGATGTTTGGTGACTCAATGCACGCCCCAATGAATGGGTTGAGATTCTCGTGACTCAAATCTCGTACCTTTTAGAAGGAAAAAGCAGGAAATGTGGCCGTGGAATGAAACGTCTGAACGTTTCTAATTACGAAAAAAAACAGCATGAAACTTAAATTTTACCCAAGATCTAAGATTTTAGCACTATAACTCCCAAGAGTGACCATGGCATAATTTCTCCTTACAATATCAATGCAGTGTAGAGCAGACAAGTGATGAGAATGAGGAAAATATCAGTTAGGGAATAGTTAAGTGATCCAATATCGAATTCTTTAAACTAACATGGTAGACAGTAAGGAGAATTACCAATGAGATCTTGGGAGAGAACGATTAATAAGCGCTCAGCTAACTTAGAGAAATGAAACATTGAGAAGCGCAAACACCCTCGCAGAGAAAAATAAAATCGCACATTGATGTTTTGCTCATTGTCCTTGGAAAATTCAGAAAACGCTGCGGCTTAAAGTGAGAGAGGAAATTTCATATCTAATTTTCATATTGTCTGCCTATGAGTTTCATTGGCAACTGGCAAAATTTTTGTTTCTCGTTTCGAAAGAAACGACACAAGAGACATCTGCAGTTTACTATCTCACAATCTGTGTTGATGTAAGGATGGACATTCCATTCTTCCCCTCCTCTCGTTAGTTTAAGTAGCTTTCCCTCCCTCCCCCTCTGGATCACTACCATGCCATTACTGTTAACAATACCTGTTTTAGTTCTATCAAAACGTCTCTTGTCAGTTGAACGCTTCTTTTCCTGAGTCGCTTGATAACTACCGTTTGCGTCTGAAATAAAATGCAGTTCGTTTAGTGTGGTTCTATTTCGTGTTAGGCTCTCGGTAGGTGGAAATGGGTGGAAAGACGGACACGAAAACCGGCAGAAGTGAAATAAAAATTAAAAAAAACAGAGCCGTTTCCGTAAATACACAAGCGCCTACAATAACCGCACATAAGTCAGCACTAACACTAACATGATACTCTCCAATGGTCGTGCCCGCGTACTCTGCTTTATCTTCCAAATCCGATATTGCGGAAGAATTCTCATTATTTCGGCTCACGTGGGTTGGGTTGGCGCTAGATGAGGCTGCAGTCTGGAGAAAAGGTATAAAGAGAAATAATCAGTTTAATCTGTAAATATCAAGCGCGGGAAACGTGTGGCCTTCACGAAGCGCAGGAAAGCAGGTAGGCTGACGCTCATGTGCACTTTACAAAGCGCGGGAAAACAGCGCTTTGGGTTAGAAATGCAGCTAGTGTCTAGCGCTGGAACAAATTCAGGCTGTGTCAAGCACGAGAAAACACATCACCTCAGCGAGGTCTTAATGAAAGAAACTTTGGCCCTCAATATCATCAACAAGTAATCGCTTATTTCCTTGTAAAATTAAGGATTAATATCACTGTGTTTCAGAAGTTGCGTAAATTTCCCGAGTCGCGCTGCAACACGCATGATATTAATGCCTGATTTTACTCGGCCCCATCTGATTATTTATTCTTATTTCCTTCCCAAGAAAAAACCTATTTCCCTCAATTCGTAATTTACGCCGCGTTGGTTTGAAATATCATAGTTAACATGGGCGTTATTTTTCTGTAATGAAGAAGCTCTAGAAGAACATGTCATATTTCCAAAATATATCGCTGGCTGGAGTGTGTGTGGAATATTGTAGAACATACTTCATAGCCTCAGGGTTCATATTTTACAACTTCCAGTGCATGAAAAAATAGTAAAATAGGTTACTAAAATGAAGTGGTAAGCGGTGAGTACGCAATCATTGACTCTAAAACTATTTGAACAAGCTTGGAACCACCGCATTATGCAGCCTTTTGGTTAGAAATGCAGCTAGTGTCTAACGCTGGAATAAATTCAATCTGTGTCAAGCACGAGAAAACACTTCACCTCAGCGAGGCGCGGAAAGACATGAAGCGCGTGCATAGCTCTGGAAACGTACAGTCATTGCAAAGCGCTAGAAAAGGTGTACGCTGCTTCCGTGTTAAGTGCGCAAACTGAGCACAGAACCAGGAAAAGGACACAAAAAGAGTGGAGGGTATGCAGCCTTCTCCTCAATAGCGCAAGGTAAGTCTGTGACCTCACTGAAGTGTGACTGCAGAAGTAAATTCAAAACATTTTTATAACACCTGATGGATTTTGACAAACATGTGCTTCCTGCCATCTTACCTGGTGAGGCATGATGAAATTATTAAACCAGAACGGTAACATGCCCTGGGGTTTAGGCTTCTGTTTAACGTTTTCTTTCATTTTGAGGTCTTCAAAGCGGATTTTCCACGTCATATTTTCAGCCAAATCTGCCTCATAACGAAGCTTCCTATATCAAAACAGGAAAATACAACTGAATCCTTAAATCTTAAGCTTCTTAGGACCAACGTGCTCATGTTAACACGGTTTGAGACTCTCAAGCTGGAATCTCGGTGGTATCTCA